ATTTCATATGTGGCATAGTGAGTTGGTGATTTGGATCTGGACTCGTGATTTCTTTTGCTTGATGGTAACAAGTGAAAAGAGGTGTTACTTGCTTAGGATCTGTGGTCCAACTGATTCCTTTCAATATTTTCCCGTTCAACTTTGTGTACTTAATCACATGATTCTGCATGTGTGAGAACCTATTTTTAGCTCTCACCCAAATCTGTTTCTAAGGTCATCAGTCTGTCTGACCCAGTTGTGCTGTAGTCAGTGACTACAATGACAGATTGAAAGAGGGAGAAGTAAATGTACTATATTATAGAGAGGGGGAAAGAGAGATGATTCACTAAGTTGAAATATATGAGGGGTTTTGGCTGTGTAAGGATATAACACATGTTAATGGCTTACTTTCACCTTCTTTTCATTACCAGTCAAGTATTATTTGACATAATATGTGAGAAATAAAGAAAAAAGTCTTGAATATAGTTTTAATTTGGTGGTAGGTTTCTTTTTTGACTTTTGAGACAACAGGAGGAAGAATATACCTTTGACCTTTCAGTGTGGGCAAAATATCAAACCCACACAAGAAAAAAAAATACTTTGATTGGCACTTAATTCTCATGTTGCTGAGATCTCTCCAACAATTCAAATATTTCTCTACATTCATCTGCAAAGACTTTTGTATTTGGTGATTTTAATTCTCATCTAGTGCTTTAATAATTCTCTATTACTGATGTTGCTGGTATTCAGACCTTCAATTTTTCTGTTGCTCAGTGGATTTCCCTATTCATTTTCTTAATAATTGGGATTCATTTCTTGACTTTCTTCAAGATGCCCCTTGCATTAATATTCTTAACTTTCCCATTGGGAATTGTGCCACAGAGGTTTCTTCTTGGGTTAAAGCTGGTATCAATGCTTCTTGAGAATATCAGGTGAAACCACAATCTTTTTAGTTAACACCTTCCTTTTCAGTTGATATATCCACAGGATTCACTTTTTCTAGCTGTACCAGTGTAATAGTTCTGATCACAGCAGACACTTCTTTGTGTCTTCTCATAATAAATGTAAACTGCATAGCCTCTAACAAGTTTGGTTCTTGTGACTACTGGTGGATCTGTAATGGTGTATTAAATAAAAGTAAGTCTTCTATCCCCCCTCTCTTCCCTCAATTTGAAATGCTAACAGTTTTCTGCTAATAAAGCAGAATGCTTTACTTGTAAATTCTCTTCAAATTTGACTCTTGACTTATTTGGAGTATCTTTGCCTGACTTTCCACTTAAAACTGAGTCTCTATTGAGTGATTTGCATTTAACTCTGTACATGGTTTCTGCTATCATCACTAAACCTGATCTCTACAAAGCACATGAACTTGATGGTATTCCTACTATAGTTCTTAAAAATGTGCTCCTGAACTAACTCTACAATAAATGCCTTGCTGCTTCTTGGTTCCCTGCTTGTTGGAAATCCTCTTCTGTAGTTCCAGTCTTTAAGAACTCAAACAAAGTGTCTTTGCCTTCTACCTCTTTTTGGCAAAGTACTAGAGACTCTAATCGACTTTGAGTTGGTTAAGCATCTCAACTTGCAGAGTCTTCCTTTAAATAAGCAATATGGCTTTTGCTTCTCTAATTCAATTCTGCCCTGTCAGCTGGAGCTTCAGAATACACCAACTGCACCTCTGCAGTCACCTAAAGCAAAAATGTTAAAGATCTTTGAAACTTTTAAAAGTAATGTCAAGAAATGGACTGAGGTGCAAACCAAAAAGTAATCAAATTTAGATCATGAATGCATTATATAGTGCTGCACGCAAATCCCATGTAAAAAGACTACAGACCATACAAAATCAAGTTCTGAGACTAAATTTAGGTACCTTTCACACCACCTATACAAAGTCTGTATATAGAAACCAACAATGCACCTTTGTGCCTTAGAAGGGAAAAATTATCCCTCCAATACATGCTAAAACTACAATCCACCCTAACATACCAAAAAACATAATCCTCAATATATTCAATTCTACAATAATAGACCAACAGCTATTCCCTCATGTAGACTTTGAATGAAAGAAACACAAAAACAAAAGCCCTGATAATATAACACCATTTACTATAAATAAAATAGTTCCATGTGTAATCTCTGAACTTTACATAGACCTAACACTGATACAACAAAAAAACACAACCAGCACCTAAGAGTCAAAAAAATATGGACTCAGAGATAAATATACTGACTACAAAGCATTCTATAGAGATGAATTGAAAATCCTGGACAGAACATTTGCTGCAATCACTAACAGACAAGTCCACAAACAAATTAGACTGCCAGTTAGATATTCATTTATACAGCTGAGCTAAAATCCATAAAAATGAAATGATCAAAAACCCAGAAGACAGCAAATTCATAATATTCTCAGGCTCTCTATCCAACCTAACAGCAATTAAGAAAAAAATCCAAACCACTTTTACATACATGAAATATTAGAAACATATTACTATTTCATAAAAAACCACAAAATAATAATCTTGGCTTGGCTTCGTAGGTATTAAGGGAAATTAAAAGCTGATACACTGGCAAGGGAGGTAACCAAAATTATAATAACCAACATTAGACTCCCATATACAGATTACAAAAATAAGATCACACAATACATTAAAAGAAAATGGCAAACAATTTTGGGGATATGTTTCCAAACAGCAAACCGTATGAACATCAATAGACAGTCAGACTGGAAAATAGAGAATCATTACCAAATCAAAGACAGGACATAGTACTAAGAGTCCAAAATGGACATACATATCTTATACACACATAATGACTCAAAGCAGAAACTGCACTGTGTTCATTTTTTGTGATCAATTGTTCATTGTTAACAGATCCTAATAGACTGCAAATAGTAGAAGAAACCATGCAGTAAATACTGTGATGTACAAGATTTTACTATGCTTGTTTTCAAAAATGTATCGGTATCTCAAATAATGGGCTGCTTGAAAGAAGTAGGCTGCTTCTAGCAGTTATAGAAGAAAGCTCAATACATTTTATCTATGAACTATATATCTAAAAAAAACATACGTTTACACTGAAAGTATAAAATTGCATGCAAAACATCTGTAGTTGGAGCCATAAAGTTGCATACAAAAATTTGGATTTTGGCATTGAGTGGACCATATCATGCCACTGAACAAAATCAACCAACAGTCCATTTTGGCATTAATCACTCATAGTGGTTGATATGTCAGTAAAATAATCAATCAATGAATCAATCAGTCCAGTTCAACTGCTGATGTATTAATAATTATTGCTGTAAGAGTCTATTAATCTGAAGAATGCTGAAGAATTGCTTTAAATATCTCAAAGGCATTTAACAGGCTGGTCATCTTCACAAATTGAAAAGGTATGGTATTTCTGGACTAATTTTTAAATTGATTCACACATTCTTATCAAATTGCAAAATGAAAGTTATCTTGAATGGCCACTCTTCTAGATCTTTTTGCATTAATGCAGGTGTCCTCCAGTGCTCTATCCTTGGACCTACATTGTTCTTAATTTTCATCAACAACCTTCCTGATGTCATCAGTTCTCAACTTGGTATCTATGCTGATGACAACTATTTACTCCTGTCTTAATACTAAGCATGATCATTTTGATACGGTCAAATTAGCAGTTGACTTAAAAAAAATGACCTACAGTCTGGGGCACACAATAGATTGTTAATTTTAATGCCTCCCAAAATGGAACTGCTCTTTTTTAATTATCTGAGAGAGCCTTTTTTTGTCTTCCATCAGCATAGCTGATACTAACCTCCAGGAGAGTCACTCATTGCACCTTCTCAGGCTTAGTGTTTTCTGCTGACATAAAATGGAAAGATTATATTGAATCAATTACTAGGTTTGCTGTTAGGAAAGTTGATTCACTTTGTCATGCTAGACAATTTTTCTGGCCAGAATCTATTTTTCATATTTATAGGTCTACTATTCCTCCAAGCTTTGAATATTGGTGCCACATTTGGTTTGGTGCTGTTATGAATATATTTACAAATTCTTGATAAAATCCAAAGAAGAATCTGCAATGTTATTGGTCCTACCCTGGCATCTTTCTGTCAGTCACTTTCCTAACACCATAATGTGGCTTCCTGGTACCCTTTCCATAAATGTTTTCATGGTAATTGTTCTGATGAACTATCCCCTTTAGTATCTTGACTTTATCAATTTAAGTGCAATATTAGATTGACAGTAAGATTTCATCATTTTACCATTGAAATGGTTTGATGTAATCGTAAATTCTATGCTAACAGTTTCTTCTATCACACTTCACAATTGTGGAACACTCTTCAGATTTCTTGCTTTACAGTCAACTTTGATCTTCAAAAATTTAAATGTATTGTCTACCATTATCTTCTGTTTTCTTAATTCCTGTTTTTATTGTTCTCTCTCCTTAATAATTTTCTTGTATTCTCTCACACTTGCCTTGCATGGGATGAAATCATTAAAAGAAAAAATTCCTCACCTATGACTGACTAGAACAACCTATCTGTCATTTATATAAAGGTTTTCTTAATAGATCTAGTAATCAACCTTTGACGGCTATGTTTCCAAAGAGGATGGACCAATGAATCTCACCTTAAGATATACAACAGCAATGGGGTCATGTCAGTTTTCAGCATCTCTTTTCTTTCACTCAAGTCTTGATTAGAAAATCCATTGTTCAATTTTATTTCTCATCTTATAAACTAAGTAGCTGTTGGTACCTATCTTTTTTCCCTAATTCCTATTGATTTAAATATTGATCACAAAACTTTTAATTACTAACCTTTTATGGTGTATATTAAACATCCTCACTCTATCTTCATCTTATAGAATTGTTCATATTGAAGTTCAATGAAGTGTCATTTCTTACTAGATTGAACTTGTTATTGAATGATTATATTTCTTGTAACAAAATGTTTTATATTTGATAAAGAAAAAATGTTGCATTCAATTTGTTTTCTTTTTCACATTAGGTATGTTTTGTTTACTTTGCATTCTTGTATGCAGTCTACAGATCAAAGAAAAGTTTTCAAGATACCGCCAGCTGGTATCAGAAAAATTGTAAGTATTTTATATTTTGTATATCATTTTATTGTAGGCTTTTTATGTATCAGTTCTCTAAGTAATCTTCTTTGATATGTCATAAGATAATACATACAATAAATTCTTTAACACTTAAATTGAAACCAATATCACTAGCTATTTGCTGTTTTAATAATCTTCAATAATTATTGAAGAAAACTTGGAAGGTCCTAAAATTTTAAAATATGCAACTCTCCCTTAAAAGTTTTGTTTTTGTTGTTTTAATTTCATAAATATTCATGAGATGAAATTTTTTTTTTAATATGTTAAAGGGAGAAATTATTTATTTTAGATCCTGTCCACAAATATAGCTGAAACCAGTGTAACTGTCAATGATGTGGTGTATGTAATTGATTCTGGGAAAGTGAAAGAGGTAAATACAAAATCCACTTCTGGTTTGTTTATTGTTTATGAAAGTTAATTCTAATTAAGTTCATTTAATTACTTGAGAAATTACACCTTCTGTTTATGTGTACATACATACATACATACATACATATGGCTACTTACTGATTGTGTTTTGTTAAATTAAATCTTTAATTCATGAGAAACAGAATCCTTCATTTAAGAAGTACTGAATAATTTATTAACATATTGACAGTATTTTTTGTGACATTCTATTTTGTCTTGTTTTTGTAGATTCACTGTGCATATATTAGAAACGTTTGGAATTTATTTAGCAAGCAAGTTGACATAAATTACATTATTCTATCAAAAGTATACTCTTGTGGGTAGCTAGAAATTATATACATTTTTGATATATAACAATTATTTTATTACTTAAAAAGAGATAAATCTATTAGCTTACGCTTAGTACAGGGTGTAATATAAGGATGTGTCTTCAACCTATACATTGAGGGAATTCTGAGAGAATAAGCCTACCAGGATTCATTATTGTTAGCCAGTGTTGATAACAGACACAGAAAGGAAACTACAAGAACTCCTACAGATGAGTGATTATTTTCCATCCTGCAGCCCCTTTCCCACAGACAAAAACATAGCAAATCTCTTGCTGTTCTATCGCTATTGCCAAGGAAAGTGTTCAGACAAACTACATTTTCTAGTTCTATCAGTTTTAACCTTCATGACTAAGACTTGCCATGCCACACCCATTGTAACGGACCACTATTATTCTCTCGATATTTTATTGGTGAGATGTATATTTCACACAAGCAGTTTCTTACCATGAACTGCTGCTTTGTAGAAACAACTCCCAAGAGGATGTTTCGCCAATAACTTCAGTCTTAACCTGTTTGAATCTGAGGTTAACTGTTATCTTGCCCACATATCCCCATAAGCTGTGCCTATTATGCTGTCCCTTTCTACTTTGAATGTCTTTTGGACTTTGTACAGGGTGAAAATGATTATTAAAAACAAAAAAAGAGGTGAGTTCAAATCTTACCGGAAAATTCTTCATTTCCAGTTTATACTGCTGACTTACTAATCATAGAATAAACTGAGAGTTGTGATAAAAAGCAAGAGAAATAATTAAGAATAAAATATGAATAATATTTGCTTAAAGAGAGTGGAGTTATTTTGTTTTAACCTATTAATATATTTTACTTAAGTGGTTTACAAAAACAATTTATTCCATTCTAGAAAACCTTTGATGCACTGAGTTCAGTAACTATGTTAAAGACAAACTGGATCTCTAAAGCCAATTCCATACAAAGAAAAGGCAGGTAAGTAAAGTCCCTTAACCAAAAACACTTCTGAATTTTCAGTTTAATTTTAGATTTGCAATTTACATGAAGTTTACTTTATCCATTTTTTTTTCTTGATTTGAAGAAAATAGATTTTATATTAAATTAAGTTTGACTAAATTTATATGACCTAAGCAGAATATATAAATATTCCATTCATTGAGAAGTAAAGGAAAAGAATGCTAAACTCTCTCATTATTCTTTCAATTGTGTTACTGGCTCCATAAAATATTGAAACTCCTTTAAATTGCACATTGTCTCATATGAAATTGATTAGATTTGGAATTGGAAGACTCATATATTTATTTCAATAAAATGTATAAACACTTTCTTTTGGGTTCACCCCAAATACAGGTAGTAAAGCCACTAAGACACAAGGAGTTACTGTGTGTAGAAGTATTAGAAAACGGAACATTAATAAGGAGTGAGAACAAAAGAAGAGTAATCAGGAAGACAGTAGATAGCAATTGACATTTAAATTTTTGAACATTAAAGTCGATTGGAAAGCATGGAACTAAAACAGTTCTATGAATTAGAAGTGCAAGAAAAGAAACTGTTAGCCTAGAACTTACGTTTACATCTAGCCAACTCAACAGTAAATTGATGAGACGTGCATATTCAATGATTTTGATCAGTTGTTTTGTTGACAATTTTCAAATGTGATTTAAATTCTGGAAAGCCCCAACTTTTATCATTGTTTAGACATTTTTGACATAAAATTTAGTTTAAGAGGCAATACATTAAGTTAAAAACTGTATTTTGACTGTTTCTTCATTAATATAGTTTACACTAATGTATATGCAATAAAATTTTTGATTTTTAGAAAAAGAAAGATATATATCTGCATATATGTGCTTTTTAGGGTTTTTTTTATTTTTTTTTATTATACTCTGCTGCATGATTATCGTTTATAATAAATCCTTAAAATGAAAAAAGTCCTGTTCATTATATTTCGTTCAAAATGTCAATGAGTTTTCTTTTTTTGTTAAATGGTTATTAACTGTTAGTTTGAATATTATTTCTGTTTAATCTTCTCGCAATAATTTTGTCCATGTAAATTTGAAACTCCATTTACATGTAGTATAATGTTTTTATGTTTGTAAGTGAGCTCTTTATAAACTATTTGATTTTTATTCCAATCATTAATTAAACAACAGTTTTAAAATTTTTTTTTGTTTTTGTTTTTTTTTGCTACTTGAATATATATATTATTTAAAAAAAGAAAAAAATCCCATAGGCATATTTTGTTGTTTCTCATTGACAAATTTATTTTTATTTGAAATATTTATAAAAAGTAATGAATTAAACGTGCATTAATGCACCAATTCCTTTTCAACATTAGATCTTTGAATCATAACTTGAATTAATTTATTCAATATTTTTCTAATTTTGTAGAGCTGGGCGAGTCCAACCAGGAATCTGTTATCATCTCTTCAGTAGGATACGTTACGATAATTTGCAACTGTACCAAGTACCAGAAATGCTTCGTTTACCCCTCCATGTAAGTAAAACTTAGAAAATAATTTGTACTTTTTCTGTTAGTAAATAGATTTAATAAGCTTAAACATCGGTAAGACTTGTTTGTTATAGCTTAATTTAAAATTTGCTTTACAACTTTAGTTATAAGTTTATTTTAACAGAATTTATTTTAACTATCCATAATCTCCAAGATATTTTGCATGATTTAATTTTATGTATATTTATTTTGTTCATTGATACAGTAATCTATCATTGTTTTTTTTTTGTTTGTTTCTTTGTTTTTGTTTTGTTCTTCACTCAAATATTTTTTATTACCAGTAATAATTTTAATTTCTTTAAATGACTTTGTAGTCATTGCTCATGAATCTGTGATACATTTGTTAAAACAAAATATATGATGGACTTTTCCATCGATTTCAACGTGTGAGTTTTTGACAATTGAGTCCTTATCTTTGATGTGACTCATGCAGTTGGTTAGTGCTTATGTCTTTTATGACATTTTAGTCCCTTGAGTGACTTACAGTGAAGACCACAGAGCACACGTATACAAGGATTAGAATCCCGAATGGCAAGTATGTTTGCTGCTGCTTTTCTTTTTGCTTATATCTTGTGGAAATGGTTGATAAAAGTAGCTCTTTGCTGTTCAATTCCAGTGCAAAAACTTGTTCGATATTCAGCTTTCACATTGGCTCTTGCTTCAAATGATCTGTGTGGAATTTTGATGGCCGTAAGATTGTTTTTAAATTTGTACTTGTACCTTAACCAAGGCCTCCTAATGTTAAACCAACCATCCTGACCATATGACCAACCCAATGCAATTGCAATGTCTTAAGAAAGCTCTCTATACCACCAATGCTGCACATGGTAAACCAGTTCAAATTTGACACTTTCTCACAGAGAGATATTCCACAGATTGCCCTGAGGCACCCTTTGTGGAAAATGTCAAGTTGGTTTATAAGAAAGCAATACAGTGTCCATGATTCAGAATTATACAGCAAGATAGTAAGGGTAGCAGCCTTGTAAACCTGAACTTTAGTGTCAAGCCTGGTGCCATGTTCATTCCAAAGGTGACAAAGTTTACTGAATGCAGTGCTGTCTTTAGCAATTCAGAATTGACTTTATTTGAGATTTTAACCCTCAATCTGAACAGGAGTTTCTGGAAAGTGGGGAACTGATACATTTTGCTTGACACCCCGGATTAGTTTTGGTCTAGGACAAGGCTGGTAAATCACTTCCTTATAGTTAGCCCAAAAGCCTTGCAGGCTGCAGAAAAGTGATTAGCAAGAAACTGTGCTTCCTCGAGAGATGCTGCAGTCAATGCTGTATCATCAGCAAAAAGGAGGTCACAGATTAAAACTGATGATTCTTGAATAGTCCAAGTGATTAAAAATATATATATATATATATATATATATATATACACACACACACACTGGTTTCTAATTATTGCATTGAGGGCTGACTTTATTTTTTAAGTTATTATGATTTGCTGTTCTTTTAAATCTGTTTTCATTGAACATTTTTTAGTCATAAATTGTTCCAGGTAAGCAATATCTTGAAAAAGCCTGTTATTCCATATCATTTCACTTAAAAATAATTTAAATGAAATAGAATTTCCATGATATTCCTATAAAGGAATTTTTATTTCATTTCAAGGTCCATCTCAAATCTGATTTATATTCTTGTCACTTTAGTGAAAATATTTTGGTTCAGATTTCACCTATAAATATTTAAATGGTTAATTTTTTTAAATATGTTTATTCAATCACAGAATACAAAGCAAAACTGAATTATTTTTCTTACTATTTTTTATTGTTTAGCTTTATCACTTTTTTAAAATCTTCTTTCTTAATATAGGAACTGTGTCTGCAAACGAAGTTGTTAGCACCTGCACAAGTATCTATTACGGACTTCCTTTCTAAAGCACCACAAACACCAGCTTTTCTAATTATCAGAAATGCAGTCCAACTACTGAAGGTATTATGTCTCTCTTTTTTTTTTTTTTTAAATTTTTCTCAGACATTCATATTCAATGTTAATAATCTTGATGCATTGAAATAACTACCAACATTTGTTCTAAATAGTTGTAGCAGAACAGATCAGCATCCAAGATCTAAATAGATAGGAATGTGTCTGATATTAAAATTATCTTAAGTACTTTTACAATTTTGAATACAGTCCATTAAAAAAATACACTTGAGTATGAAATCCGTTGGTTAGCTTTTTACTTCTTTTTTTAATAGCAAATTGATGCCTTGGACCCATGGGAAGATTTGACTGAAATGGGTCATCATCTAGCAGATCTACCTGTTGCTCCGTCCTATGGTAAAATGGTGCTATATGCTGTGGTGCTAAAATGTTTAGACCCTGTCCTCACTATAGTATGCTCCCTGGCCAACAAAGATCCATGTAAATATTGATATTTTCTTTCTAACTGCACTTATTTTCCTTATTCAGTTCACATTTATTCAAACCTTTAATTATTATGAGCTGTATTTAAAAGGCTTTTACTTTCTTAATATTTATAGTTATGCTCCCAGCTCAGCCTTGTCAGAAGAGAGCTGCTTCTTTATCACGAAAAAACTTTGCTGCCAACACATTTAGTGACCATATGGCTTTGCTTCGAGCATTTCAGGTTGGTTTGAATTTTTGAAGAAAAGTTTGTTCTGCTGGGTTAAACTATTTTAATAAAATATTTTTCTTGAGATCAGTAATTTCTCTGAGTTTCTGGTATCAGGATAGTGACCATTGAAAAAGATGAAATAACTATAACTTTTAAAGATCTTTATTGTTTTTAAAATGAAAAAAAGGTTTTAATCAAATTTTTTATTAAAGTCAGAAGATTTGTTTTGCTTTGAAGTAGAATCAAACCATAATGACTAATTTTCAATATACATATCTACTGCTCTCATAATGAAATACAAAAGATTTTTTTGATTTTTTTAAATAAGTTTTAAATTTATATTTTAGGCATGGCAGAAAGCCAGGACTGAGGGTTGGGAGAAAGCATTTTGTGAGAAAAATTTCTTGTCTTCTGCATCTATGGAAATGATTGTTGGAATGAGGTTGGTTCACCATGAATTTTTATTTTTTATTTTTATTGATTTATCTTACACACTGGATTTGATAAAAATTTGTTTATATTATTTTTAAATTATAATATATGAATCAAATAAATGTCAATAATTATACTAAAATTATTTCGTTAAACACTCCTTCCTAAATTCTATATGTATTTGTTATTTTTATTTCCTTTTTCTCTGTTTATTAATCAGAGCACAATTGCTTGGTCAACTTCGTGCTTCTGGTTTTGTGAGAGCTCGAGGCGGAGGCGATATCCGTGACTTGAATGTTAATTCTGAAAAGTGGTGTGTTGTAAAAGCTGCATTATGTGCTGGTTTGTACCCAAATATTATCCGTGTTGACCGAGCTGTTGGCCAATTATCTGCTGCGTAAGTAGAAATTTTTCCTCTTCATTTTTTTTTTTAATCCAGTATAGTATAACATTTCAAAAATTATGTATTTTACAAAAGAATTAAAATAGGAAATAACCTGGTTTATGGTTAAATATTTTAATTGTCATCTATCATAAAATTGATTTATAATTTTCAAAAATTTTCAATCTGTCATTGGTATAAGGAGAATTTTTATTATTTTTGCCAAAGTAAATTTTTGATTGCTCTATACTCTTATTGAAATACATCCTTGAATGTTGAAAATTTTATTAGTTTTTCTACAGAAAATTGTCTGTTTGCTCTCATTGATTTAAAATATTGTCTATAAAGTAATTGTATGCATTTTTTTCTTATTTAGTCAACATATCTTAAATATAATTAGAAGTTACTGTATAAATTATATACTGTAATGACCAACCTTCTGATGGACCCAGAATCTAATGAACCAACTTTAGCTTCATGTTTATTTTATGATTATTAATACACAGTAAAGCTATTCCAATGGTAATCATAATAAAGAGACTAAAATAATATATAAATAGTTTTGTGTTTACATAAAGACATGATGTGATGATATTGTTTCTCTACATTTTTTTCTGTTTGAATAGAAAATTGTATATTAAAAATTTTCAAATAGCCATGGATTCAATCATGTTTTTTCTTATTTTCATTGTGTTTAAAATGTAACTCATTATTTTCTGTTTATGTTTCTTTCACTGTCTTATGTCAGCCATGGTTTTATATTTGTATTTCAGCAAAGAGACTAAAGTTCGCATTCACAATCTGTCTGTGCTAAGTCCCAATCCCTCAGTAGGTTCTCGAAATAAAAATATCAGTTACTTCCCATCTGAATGGATTGTCTATGAAGAGATGAGTAGAAATAATAGATTGGCATCTGTACGATGCTGCACAATGATATCACCAATCACTATCGCCTTATTTACTGGACCTGCCAAATTATCTCCTGAGATCATCAAAGAAGCTGAGAGTAATATCACTGCAGGTAATCTCATTTCTTTTTTATTACAAAATGAGAAACAAGATAATAGGAATAAGTAGTTATATCTGTTGAAGTTACTTGACTAGTTGGTGGAAATCCATACAATTAAGTCATGCATGTGTAAAGCTTGTCAATAACTTATCTAAACTAGAGCTTTTATTCTAATAGTTTGATTATACTGGGCAACACAAATGCTTGTGATAGGCAGATAGTATATTGATGTTAAAGGTAAATCTATTAATAGTATATTAATGATGTATATAGTACATTTATGTTGACGGCAAATAGTATATTAGTAAACAGGACATTTATACACAAGGAATATTTAGATGATATTGAAAATTGACCAAATAAATATAAATTACTTTATTTCTGATATCTTCATAAATATTTAATATGGTCTCCTGTTATAGGAGTTATCAGTAGTCTAGTATTAACTTGTGTTTGAACTGAACCAATTGGATACTTCTTTTGTATTTTTGATATATCCAAATGGAACAACTCACTATGCTCATTGCTTACAGCATCCAGATCCATTGGAAAAACTAGATGAGAATGCAAGAAGTGTATTTTAAAAGATAACTAGCATTCCAGTCTTCTAATATTTTTAGCTTTTTGTTAAATCAGCATAATTTATAGGTAAATGAGACCCAAGAAAGTTCTGTACAACAAAGATTGAATTCCATACCAACAATTCAAGTGGACATGAATGGTATATTTTGATTTAGAGCATTGTTTCAAATTGGATTTGAAATTGGTCTATTTGATTAATTTGCCCTGTTAGTAAAATCTTTGTGCCCACTGTTATAATTTACATCAGAACTAGAATAATGTGAGATTTTGTTTTGTTTATTTCATCTTTAATTATCAATTAGCCCATGAATTGTTTTCTATCTGTAGATGAAAGAAAAGTTCAAGATTTTGTTGGTATTAATGTTTCTGACAATAATAGTGATAGTGGTGGTGAAGACAGTGAAGACAACAAAAAGTCTTGCCTTCAGTTGGATGAATGGCTAACTTTTCATATTGAACCAGAAGTAAGTTATTTTATAAAAGTTTATTGTTAAATCAAAGATTTGAGTTGATTCCTCATTTTACTTACTATATATACAATTAAAGGTCTTAAAAATCAGTTAGTTCTTAAGTTTGATTATAAAATAACCTAGTAGATTTTCTTTTGTCAATATTGTCCAACATTTATTAAATTTACATTTTGTAAATAAGGTTTTATGGAATTTTATATATAGGGTGTGATGGATAAATTGCTGTGGAAATTACACAAAAATGAAAATAATAATGACATCTTATTTTAACAGATATATTTACCAAAGTTACACAAAAATATCTTGAAATACTAAAGAGTAAATTTATTCATTAAAATTGCCATCAGCTTCAACCACGGCCTCCAGATGACTTTGAAATCTCATGCAACTCATCTGGACAGTCTCCTTGTTTAAGTTGGTTAATGCTGCCATAATCCTTGCTTTCAATTCATCTTTGGTGTCACAAGGAGTTTTGTTAGTCTCTTGCTCAACTGCACCTCACACATAGTAATCAAGGGGGTTGCAATCTGGGGGGTTAGGTGGCCAGATGTAAGGGGTAATGTAGTTGTAGAAATTGTCTGACAGCCATGACTAGGTTCCCCTGCTTGTGTGACATGGTGCAGTGTCCTGTTGCCAGACATAGGGTCTTCCAACAGCCACACTCTTGACCCAGGGCGGCACTACCTCCTCAAGGTACTTGATGTTGATCTGCATGTTTAGTCTGAAGCCCTCACCAACAAATTCAGGAGTTCTTTTCTTATCAGAACGATCAGAGTTTTTTCCGAGCTGCCATACCTTCATAATCACCATTAAAATCATCCAAATCTTTCCGTATCTTCTGCACTGTCCTCAGATTGACACCCAAACATTGACATGTTCATACTGGAGTGAATGCCAAGCAGTACAGCATGCTGTTTTCAAACAGTGAATTGTCATTATGCTCTTTTTCTCACAGATGGTGCCCAATTGACCCTACCATACAGTGCAGTCAACAAAATAAAAAAACAATGCACAAAATTAAAAATATAAAATGGTGACAATTTTTACCCATTGCACCCTGTATTTTGTTTTAAAAATAACATTGTCCCAAATTCTTTTAATTTGTTGCTTTTCCATATTTAGTAGATTTAGATTTCTTTGTTTTTTTCTGTATGTTTGTATTTAATTACGTTACATCTGCTAATTGTTTATTTCATTTGAATGTAGAATGTTAATTCTTGTGATGATTTGTGAAAATGCTTAGAAGTATTTCTTTACATTTGTATATTTGATATTACATATAAAATCATCTACATGTAACCCTCTTTTACTGAGAAAACCTTTTACTATTTTTTATCTAACCATCTAGAAATTTGATTTATGTAGACACTGTAATATTCTTTGAATATTTCCTCTTTTGCTTTTTTACTTCTGTGAGTTTTGTCAAGAAAATTTTGAAATTGGTATACACAGAAATTTTCTTAAAAGTGGTGTAATTTGGCTAATAAATTTACATCATTGCTAGTATTTGCTAATATTTCTTTTAAATTGTTCAAAGGTCATAATTCAGACTTGTCCAAGTTGCATTTTTCATTAATCTTTTTATTGATCTTTTATTTTATCTAATTTACTCATTACTTTAATTATACTTCAGCCATTATTTTTTTCAGGATTTTTATTTAATGAGCATAACAACAGTGTATTTCTTTTATTTTTTATCAGTGTGCAACATTAGCACTTCAATTACGTCAAAAATGGCACAGTTTGTTCATCCGCAGAATGAGAGCTCCATCCAAGCCATGGACACAGGTTGATGAGGTAATATATTTTTATATATTGTTATAAAAATGTTACAGGTAACAGATTAGCAATTCCTTTATTTTTAAATAAATGATAATCTCTAAAATTACTTGACAACTAAAAGGAAATAGAAATAATAATTATAATGATACAGCTTTTCCAATAGGTTAATATGATGCATTTTTTGTAAAAAAAAAATAAAGGAATTGCTAGCAAGGTTTGGATAGGTTAAAAAGTTATTTGCAGATTCCAATTTTGCAATCATTTTATGCACAAATTACCTGTGAACAACAAGGGAGAACTGTATTTCACTGTTTCTATCCAATGATATTAGTCAATTCATGTCTATCTATTGATGCATTTATCTTTATTTCAGTCTAGTCATTTTATTTCACTTTTTAAAAAATTATTTGTTAATAAATAAGATTAATTTTTTTTTTTAATGCTAAAAGACTATTTTAGGTCTGTCAATGAATTAAAGTATACATATACACACAAAAAAACATTTCAAAATTAAAATGGACATGTGCTGGTAGATCTAGTTTCCTTTTCTATCTTCTAACAACCTCTGGGTAACCTCTGCAAATAACTTTTTAACCTGTCCAAACCTTGCTAGCATTTAAAATTTCCCCAAAACAGCTAGAAGCAATAAGTAGATCAATCTCTCCAATGTATGATTTATTTATTTGGAAAGCAAGAATAAAGAAATATAACAGAATTTTAAGTACAAAAAATTACAGCCCCCTTTAAGTACGTTTCTCAGATGATTTTGTTGGCATGTTGATTCATGAAAAGAAAGAAAGAAATATTTAAAAATTTTAAACACGGTTTTGAAAATCAATACATTTAATATTAGGTAATTGACATCTAGAATGTAGATTACTAATTAACCAACTCTTATTTTATTGTCCCAAATGATTTAACATTTTCTCATTTGTGAAATTATTTTGATAAAAATACTTATATTAAAAGTTATATAAAATTCAGTCTATATAATTATTCTGTGTTTTAATTCTTATATGAATGAATTTAAGTTAGAACAAATGTAGAAATTGAAATCAATGTGTTCCTTGTTTTAATGATTATTACTGAAAATACCTTATAGTAAATTCTTATTTAAAATGAAATAAAACCTTCAAAAACTAAAATAAAGTTACAATTTGTTTAGCTAATCCCTAGATTCTACATGTTTGAAGAGAAGGCCCTCTTTTGTGAGATACTTACATACCTCGGGCACAAAACACTGATGAAACCACTACAGGAAAATAAATTTGGTCATTCATGGCTTCTTGTTGGACATCAGTACACTATCTTCTGTCTTAATTCCTGTTCTTTTGTTCTCTCTACTTAATAAATGTCTTCTATTTCTCATCATCTCTCACACTACGTTACCTCTTGTGATTTAGTGGCTTCATTGTTTTGGGGTTGAAATGATTAAAAAAAATAAAAAAAGGTTAAATATTAAAAATTGATAATTCTAAATAGTATCTGAAGGTTGAAATACTGTAAATGATGCTATTTTCAACTAAATCAATTATCTTTGTATTAAAAACTTTAACCTACCTTGTATTTTTTAACTAAATCCAGAATTTTGGTGTAAAACTTATCCTATCTCACAATTTTATACTAAATTATTAATTTTAATCTTAAAAAAAATTTCCCATGATTGGGTAAATTTTTAACACTAAAACCTATGAATCAGTATGAAATTACGAGGCATAGCAATTCTTTTTCTTACACCAAAAACATTGATTTAATTTTAAAAAATATGAACATGAAAACCTCATATTTAATTTAAATTAGAAGCATTTTCATTATTTTAACTTTCAAAATTTATTTATATCAACCAATTTTTTAATATTTATTGTCAGCATAAAAAAATAAAGCCAGAAAAAAAGCTAATTATCTATTTTTTATTTTATTTCACAGCCATATTTACATACACACACACATGTAAGCAAAGAGAAAAGTTTGAGAGTTTTTTTTATCTTATTGACAATGTCTTATGAAGTGGTATCAAGAAGTTTCCAGACTAGTCCTATAGTACACCAAAAGATGGCAACTCACAGTTGTGTATGCAGTGAGTGCTAGCAGTGACCGTCATGCACTAGTATGCCAAATAACAGTGCTGTGTTCACTTCACAAGTTGTGAAATTTGTGTTTTTGGGATCATGTTTAGGCTATACAGCCTACAATTTTGTCATTAACCGGAATTGGAACAAAGAGCTAATTATGCATTCAACTTGGGAAGTTTGCTCCAGAGACATTGAGTATGCTTCAGTAAGCTTATGACAATGAGGCAATGTATTATAGGCAATGTTTTGACTGGCATGGGTGCTTCAAAAGTGGAAGAAAATCTCTGGAAGATGACAAGTGATCTGGAAGACTTGGCATGAGTGTCACCTCCTGAAATATGTAGAAAATTAATCAGATTATGCATGATGTTCATCTGAGGACAATCAATTATATTGCTGATGTTCATACAGGCACTCCTGAAATCTGAATTGAACATGTGATTTTCTGATATCAAGTTTGTCCTCCACCTCCTGAGCACTGCAGAAAGAACATCACGTCTGTCAAGATCTTAGTCAGTGTGCCGCTGTTGATCCATCCTTCATGTCAAGGATCATCTCCGCTGACAGAAATTGAGTTTATTGGTATGACCCTGAGTTGAAGCCACAGTTGACACAGTGGAAGAGCCCTTCATCTCCATAACTACAGAAGGCACAACAGAGCTGCAGCTCAATCAAGAACTTGCACAGCATATTTTTTTTTTTTTTTTTTTTTTCCATGTGATATTGTGCATTGAGAATTTGTCTCCCTGGACCATACCATCAATTGAGAGTTCTACTGCAATGTTTTCAGGTGTTTGATGGAGGACATTCAGTGAAAGCAACCAGATCTGTGGAGCAGAAATGATTGTATTCTTCACAATGACAATGCACTCTGTCACTGAGCTTTCCTCACTCATGAGTTTCTAGCCAAAAGCAATATTGTATTGTTTCTGCACTCACCCTATTTGCCACATTTACTACCTGCAGACTTCTGTTTTTTCTCCAAGCTGGAAATGCAGCTCAAATGTCATTCTTTTAACACCGTTCTCAAGATCCAGAGCAAATTGCAGAAGACTCACTTACAGAAAAAAGCTTCCAGGCCAGATTTCAAAAGTGGCAGGAACGCTGGGACTAGTGTATTGCCACACAAAGTGACTATTTTGAAGGAGATGATGTTAAAACTTAGGTAAATATAGTAGTTTTTTTAAGCATAACTAGTCTGGGAACTTTCTGATACCACCTCATATTTCAAATTCCATCAAATTGTGGGTTTATGTGTACTAGTGTCTACATTAAATTGCACAAGTACATGTAAATGACTCCTACACAATACGCATAGGCATAGATATTGCATACATGCATATAAATTCACATACAGAGAGTATGCGACAAACAGAAAATCAACTCTTCTTTTTATAGATTATGCTTTCTTTCATTTGGTTGTATGCATGCAATCTGTGCTTACAGAATTTGAATTGAAATGCTTTTGCAGTTTAGCAAAATTGTCTGTTTTTTAATGGTAATGAGGACTTAAACATAAATAATTCTTCAGTTACTATTGTGATGGACGCAGATAGCCTAAACACGCATACACGCATATATTAAGGTTAATTTCCTCCTAGCAACAGAATGGGGGTCACCTGAAAGTCTTGTGACATTTTGGGAAAGCAAGTCAAGAGGTTGACTGACCCAATTACCTGTAGCAACAAATATCTAGATAGAAGCTAGACAGGGGATTGATGTAAGCTGGAGTTCGCGCCAAAACTCAAGACACGTGAGAGTTAAAAATTTACTTGGGAGTCAGTTGCTGTCTTGTCTTTGAAGGAGCAAGACTCGAAAACGAAGCGCTGATAATTTATGAACGGAAAGATAAAACTCATTTGATAATGATGGAACTTGTCCGATTCATCCCTGGCAACTCCGGACAAGAGATATAAAGACAAGTATTTCTGTTCGATAACCCCAAATTGAAGACACAGAGAAATTTGTACGCTGAGAATATAGCCTGCGTTTGAAGAAAAGAGAAAACCAGAGAGGAAGAAAGTATATATCTCTGTTACAAGCTGAACTGTGTAAAGAAACAGAAAAAGGAAAACCAGAGAGGAAGAAAGCGTGCTGAATTGTGTAAAGAAGAAGAAAGAAAGAAGAAAACCAAAGAGAGGAAGAAAGTGTATATCCCTGTTGCAGTGAGTCGGGTTCAGAAACTGAAACTGTATACAGAAGAAGAAAGAAGAAAACAGAGAGAGGAAGAAAGTGTATATCTCTGTTACAGCCGGACAGTGTGTGAAATCATATTTGTGTCAAGAAAAGAAAGGATAATGATAAAAAAAAGAACTGAATATAAAAGATAAGTAATCATATATTTTGGACCCATATTAGAAAGATACACATACATCCATAAATATTATGTTCTTACAAACACCTTTCCACATGTCAAAATAATAATTGTAACTCCTATCCCATCTCTTTTGTGCATGCGTTGATTTCTGCATTCATAGTAATTCATACTTATATTTTTGTCCGTTCGTGTTCAGTCAAATCCATTTGGAGTTAGGTGAATTTTGATATCCCAACGTAAGTCTTGAGAACTGGTCGTCGGATGTTTTTACTCATGCTTATATTTTCTTTTATTTTAATATTTTGTATATTTGTACATATTAAAATTCTTGTATCAAAATTCGCTAAGCCTTATCATTCATTCTTGAAGTGTGGATCAGTATTCGTGTTGAAACCGAAGCGAACCTGGGAAAAGATTACTGTTCGATTATCCTAATCAAACAGTGTTCTTAAAATATTTTTTGTTTACCAATTGTCCATTGTCACGATCTGAGAGAGATGGCCTGTATCTCTCTACAGGTGTGAGAATATATATATCTTCTGGTCGGTGTATGATCGCCTTATAAACCCATTCGTCGACTAGGGCATATGACACTATAAGTATTTTTATAACTGTTTTTTTTTTATTAGGCCATTGTCCGAACTGTTGTTGAGGTTCTTATGACAGAAGAGAGAGAGCTTGGTTTACAACAGCCCACAGGTATTGGACAGAGGCCAAGACCTATGTGTAAGTATTTTTTTATTTTTATTATTAAGTTTAATTTCTTTTATGGCTTTGAATTTACTTCAGTAATTTTTTTAAACTGGTAATTGTGAACACTTGAAATAAATATTTCTGTTAGGAAACTTAAACTTTTATTTCGTATGGAAAATATATTTTCATTCTTTTTGACATATTATTTATTGATTCTAATTAATCTTTTGATTTTTATTTTGTTTACTTTATATTAAACTGTAGCCATAGAGTCTATCATGTCCTGTAGTGGAGGCCGCAACTACTATGAACTGGAGGATCAGCCTGAAGAAAAAACAAAAATGACAAAGCGCTCAGTTCCTTCTACACCTCCAAAGAAAAAAGATTCAGGAAGTATGTTTTCTTTTCAATTTCCATATTATCTCTTTTTTTCATTATTTCTCTGTGACAAATAATTTTTAAAGAATTAATGGATTTTATTTTTAATCCAACATTATTTCTTATAACTCTAAAGATTATTTTAATGGCTATATATGTTTGGGTTTGAGTTGACACTATCTGAATGTTTGTTTGTTGTTTTTTTTTTTTTTTTTTAAACAAGTCTCTCAAATGTGCAAGCCAGCAGACATAATATAGACTGTCTTAAAAAAAAAAGATTCAGGGTGTCTACTCAACCATGTGTATGCACTAAAATAACATGGCAAATCTTATGATTTCAAGATACTTATTCATTTTGCTAATATTATCTACATTGCATTTCCTATTTTCTGATTTCATTTATTACTTATCAACACTCATAATCTAAGGTGTAGTTTTAATTATATTTTAAATTCATTTCTTTTAGTTATCAATAGAAGTTTGAAATATTTGTTTTATGTCTTTTCAAGATTAAATAAAAATAATTCCAATTTTACACATTATTCGAAAAAACTTAGATGTTTGTTCTTAATAAATTTCATATTCACATATGATCTAATTACCAACTGAAATTTAATTTATTTGGATCATTAAAATTCCCCTTTTTATATTCATTGCAAAAGACTTTGATATACTGTTTTATATGATTATGTACCTAATAAATACCTAAGTCCTTATTTTTACCCAGTATGAAAATATTGATTTTTCAGAATTTCGATCTGATAATGCTTTGTATCCTAGTGGCAGCAATGGTAACAATAGTAATCACCACATGAGTGGAAACAGTCATTCGAGTACTCCATGTGACAGTCCTCAACCATCTTCTCCTTCCAAAATGGCAGAAAAAGACCCAGGAGCTACCTCTTCACATCCTTGTCGAATGTTTATTATGAAATGCAATAGCCAGAAGACATTGGACATTTCTCTCAACAAGTCTCTCTGGGCAACAACAGCAAATAATGAGAAAAAACTCAACAAGGCTTTTTTGGTAAGTTAAAATCATCTCATTCTCAGATTATAATTACCTTTCATTAAAATGAATTATTGAATTTTACAGCTGCTGTTTTTTCTCTGGTGTATTATAAATGAAAAATATTTTATATTTTATTTTAGAATCTTCATTTTAACTCTTATGTTGAGTACTGTATATACATAAGTATAGTGCAAGTTTTTATTGTCAATTGTTTTACACAAAAAATAGGGGATTGCACTATACACAGGTAATTGTTTTGAAGAGGTTAATAATCATGCATTTTTGGTGACCACTGGTTGCATTGGTAAATTTTTTTCATGCAAAAAAAATTCTGAGATTGCACTATACATGAAGTCAGCTTATACATGAGTATACACAGTACTTAATAACCTATAAGTTATTTTTATTGTCTATTTTTCAATATTTTAAAATATTTTTAATGTTATATTTTTAAAAATTTGTTTATAAGTTAAAATATATCAAGTTAAAAATAACTTCACTAAATATCCACTGGTAGTGCTTGTTGATGTTACCTCAAAACTAAAAATTCTGAAGTCTCTCATTTATTTCATATCACTCTTTACATAATGCTGATGTTTTTTTGTTTTTTTTGTTTTTTTTTTGTTTTTTTTTTTAAATGTATGTCAGGCTTATGCCTATCATTTTATACTATCATTTTTATATTGATATACATTTTCATATATAGTATAGGTGCTCAGCTTCTATAAAAAGATTAACAAATCAGTTATAAATACCAAATCAAAAATTATCCTGTTAAATGGTCTTTAATTCCAATATATTTTCATAGCAAAATTTCTATCTCTAACAGGATGGAAAGACAGTCTATATGATATTCTCTGTACAGGGCAGTGGGTGTTTTCAGGGCTATGCTAAAATGTCATCTGTCATAAGTAAAGACAAAGGGCATGAATTTCCTTCATCTGGTATCTGTGGAGCTTGCAGCATTGAATGGCTGAAAAGGTTAGTTTTCATTCCTGTTTACTATTTATTTTATCAGCAATTTCTTGAATTATTCCCACTTTTGGATATTTAAAAAAAAGTTAACACTTTCTATCATGCCCATATTTATTATTTTTTTTTTAATAACAAAATGAAAGAAAAAAAAATCTTGTAAATGTGTAATGTTTTGTAATCTAGCTTGGTTAACTGAGTTTAAAACAAACATACTTGTATTTACACTCTTGTTATTCAGATCTTAAACCAAATCATTCATTATTTTTTTTTAATTCTCTCTTATACTATCCTGTTATATTTGAGTTGTAAAGCATAAGTTTGCTATTGATTGCATTTTAAGACCCTATCTAGACAAGTAAATGAAGAGTTTTTTTGTTTTTTTTTTAATCTATTCCAAAACTTGGAAATGTAAGGGACAATCAAAAAGTAATGCATGTTCTAATTCAGTTTTAAGTGTTAATCAGAATTCCTTGGTTTTTAGCTATAAACATTTTCCAATGTAAAAAAAAAATTGTACCATTACTTTTTTATTTTTTCCTTACTAATAAGCCTGTTTCTTAATGGTTGCCTTTCTAGACACCTAGAAAGCAAAGAGCTCTCAGAAAATTTCTGTTTTTAGAAGGAGAATTTTTCTGCAAACCTTCACAGAAGGTTAATGAAGGATCAGTAGAATTAATGCTAATCCTAAAGAGAAAGGAAAAACTGAACATAATTGACAGCCTTACAGTGGTAAGCCTGCTACTGTGAATGAGAATAAAGCCAAACAAAAGGCTGATACAATTATTACAGGTGCAAAACTCCCTGAGAGCCTTTAAACTACAAATTTCCCATGATTTCTCTTGAACGCTCATATCTGCGCTAAGCATGACGTCATATATTATGAAATGGACTAAGTCTGACAATTATTTTAATATGTTTTCTGTTTATACGTTATTTTTATAGATTCACATATTTAAGTATCTTAACATAAACATAGATTAAAAACAGTAATTTAATCTTACAAACTAGACACTTCCTCTGTAGCTAAATGGTATAGCATATCAGGCCATATGACGATTCCATGTAGGATGGTACATATTTTCTATGAGATTTTCCAAACATTCAGGCTGGTAAATGTTAATATTGTTTATTATAAACAATGCATTTACTTAAACATATATAAACAATGCATTTACTTAAATATTTGTATCTATAAAAATAATGTATAAACAGAAAATATAAAACTTGTGAGCCAGGACCTACCTACCAAGGTTTCACCTAAACGGATCTTCAGGGTAAAACTGGCTAAAGAAGGTGGATACAAGTGACATTTTACTGGTAAAAACAGCCACCATAAAATAATAAAATTAGCATAAAAACAAACCTGAACAAGACCAGAAAAACAAAGGGTAGGCGAAGAAGGTTACTTTATTGAAAAGATGAACACCCGAAGCAAAATAAAAAAATTAAAAAAATTCAAACCAACTCACAAAACTTTTATTCCAGTAACCAGGATTTTTTATGTTTACACCTATTGAGAATTTATCTCTGATTAAGTAACATGCTGGGGTTATTATAAATGGCTATGGCCAATTTTATCTCTATGCATAAGTGTCAGTACCTATCGGTCGCCTGATATTTATGGCATTATTTTTTTTTTTTTTAATTTGCTCTACTTAGTGTGTTGAGCACTTCTACATTTTTACTTTATTTACTCTGTTAGTAATTTTTCTTTTGACTAGGCATTGTGGTGCTGATTGATTATTTTCATTCAACATGGATGTCTTTTCTTTTTTTTTTACTGAATTTTCTTTTCCCCTGATATCAATTTGTTCAAATATATTTTTATGTTAATTGTATTATTTGTGTTTTTTTTTTGTTTTGTTTATTTGTTTTTTTTGTTTGTTTGTTTTTGTTTTTCACAGTATCAGAGTATAGGTATTAATATGATATATAATATTTACAAGTTTTATTAAATATTACAGACAAGGTGCTTTAAGTTTTTTTTTTTTTATATAATTTCTCATATGATCTTATATGATCTTATAATTGTTTTTTCTTTTCAGTAGATAAATTATACAAAAAATAAAAAAATTATAATTACATATTAAAAAATATAAATTATACATTTGGACAGTTTTTGTATAATTTATCTACTGAAAAGAAAAAAAATAAGATCATATGAGAAATTATATAAAAAACTTAATCAAAGCACCTTGTCTGTCATTTAATGAAACTTGCATGAAAAAAGGATCGTTGCTTAAATACACAATAAGTATGTCTTCTTGCATATTTTATTTGAAATCTAAACTATTTTTTCACAGCCACTTTAGTACAGTTTTTATCAGATTCACTCTATATGTTAAGAAAATTTGTATATTAAACTTTGTAATAATATAATTTTTATAAAGGTTGATGAAATATTTCTATGTGATTGTGTGTGTGTGTATATAGATATATATATATATCAGAAATGTCCAATTTTTTAGCAATTCTGTGGGCATAGCTAACAACTTATAGAATAATTTTTAGTTTTAGCCAGCAAGTGAAAAGCTGGCCTTTTTCTATTTGGCTGCTTGTAAGTTGAATTATGGTGGAGTTTCGTCATAAATATACATTTCCCTTTTATATCTGAGACTGTTTTATTAATAAGAATTGGTTTTAGTTACAATCTCTTGCTCCTTCTCTTTTCTAAATTAGTAACCAACAAATCTATGTGATATCTTTCTGCAACTTAGTTCCTCTTTGCTACATATTCTATTTCCTTAATTAAAATTTAGTCATCTAAAATACATGTGAGTCCCAGGGGCATTTGTTCCATTTAACTTAAATTTTATTTTCAGTATGATTCCTGTTTCGTTATTTTACTATATTTATTCATTCATTCTATTTTGTATATTCATCTGATTGAGTTATCATTTATTTTGTTTAGGGCTAATATTCCATTCCAAAATACTCAACATCTGTCCAATCCATGGAATGACAATAAGAAGATACATGTCAGTCGTGATTGTCAGGTATGGTAAGATTTGATTTTATTGGAAATTAAATAAATTAGAATTTTGATTATTTCTATTAATAACCAAGTTACTATGTCACTAATTCTACTATGCACACCTTTTGTGGGTGTTATTTTTTTTTCCTTTTTTTTTTTTTCAATGTTGTTTGCATTAATGAAAACTTTCAGTTTAGTTCTTTAAATCATTTTATTTCCTCTTGGCTTGCTCAATTCCTAATATTTAAAACAAATTTGTCAAAAATAATAAACAACAATGTAAGTGTCATGTTACTGATATAAATGATTTTCAATAATTTTAATGTTGAAATTTGCAAAATATGGACACTGGATGGACTATATTGTATTTCGTCTTTCTTCAAACATTATAATTTAAAAAAGTGTCTGATATATGTTATATAGGAATAAAGTGTTGTTGTTGACATCATAGTTTGAACACAGATCACCAGTGAGCAAACGTGGACAATTCCATTATTAAATAAGTAGATCACACAATTGTAAAGGAAACATATAAATGGGAATTAGTGTGACATCTAAGTGATTGCTATTCTCTATATTATCCACTATACTATTTCTCTATACTGGTCATTATATGAATTGCTATTCGGAGATTACTGTTTGAACATTAGTGTGAGTATTATTTGAAGGCATTACTACTACCAGTATCTGCATTTACAAAGTCTCATCTACAACGAGCATTTCGGAAATGATAAGAAGCATTTGTTGACCCAACGGAAATTAGAATGAGTTAGGATCTAACATCACAGGAGTGGTGATGAGGATTTGTTGCAATTACAATTACAGCAACAAAAGTTTTTTGAGTTGTTCACTAAAACAATGGAAACGAAAACTTCAGATTTTTTCACTCTTGATGCTGTCACTAATTCAATAACCGAGTTTGTATACAATCTGGATGAAGGGATAACTTTCCTATTTTACTATAGAAAATCTGAAGGAATCTTCAAAAGGGATTATTTGCATTGGAATGATGAAAAAAAGTTTGATTATTGTTAAGGAAATTATCCCCTTGCTGAACATGATAAATATGTAAAGTATATTTTGCTGAAGAAGCCAGGAGAAATAACTTTTGATGAGACTGTCCTAACACTATTGAAAATCTTTGGTGATAGGAGTTTGTTTAATACATGTTAGTAATATCTTAATTTAGTAAATTCCAACAAATATTTTGTCACATACACAGGAGTCGTGAATTGAAAATGCAAAAAGTTCATGGTTTAGCATCTAATAAGGATGCAGAGATAAGATCCAAGATACTTTCTAAATTAGAAATGGATCCAAAATTAACTCTCCAATGAATGGCAAAATAGTGTCAGCATATTGTGAATTTGAAACTCAATACTGCAAGGATTGTAAAAAAAGATAATTCACAGGTACAGTGTGTCCGACTAAGAGGAAAAACTACAAACATTTTTTTAACTCCTAAAGAACTATAAGGAAAGACTACAAACCCTCTGTAATACCTAATACTTGCCATTTTAAGAGTGATTGTTTCTTCAAAAACATGAAATGCTATGAATGTGGGTAACCAGCACACAAAAGTGCATGTTTCATATTAAAAAAAATGGAGAAAAAGTATGTTTGTGAATAGAATAAATACATGCAGTAACGATAAGAAACCTAAAAAGGGAATTAATAATACTTCACAAAAGAGGAAATTTGTTTTTGTGCAAATTAATGAGGTGACGGTAAAATTGCAATTAAACACTGGATTGGGTATCACTATTATAAATGAACAGACTTGGAGGAAAATGGTGGGTAAACTCAGTTTATTAACTTCTGATAAAGTTGCTTATGGAGTCTGAGGAAAGAGATAAAACCTTTTGGGTAAATTCGCCTGTAACGTTTCTTTTGTCAGAAAGACCAGAAGAGTGGTAATATTTTTGTTAGAAAATACTGCTAATTTGTACAGACTTGATTGCATTGTTTGATCTGTGGGACCTCCCAATTAACTCTTTTTGCAATAAGATAATATTGTTGCTAGTGCTAATACAGCAACTGAAAAATTGGAAAGTGAACTGAAAAAGAGTTTTTCAGAAATTTTCTCTGAAGGTCTAGGGACATGAACAAAAGCTAAGTTTACGTTGAACTATTAACACCCATAGAGGGTTATGTAGATTCAACCATCTTTCTTTCGGTGTAAAGGTGGCACCAAACATATTCCAACAGATAATGGATACCATGCTTGCTGGATTGGATTATGCTCAAGCACATTTGGATGATGTACTTATTAAAAGCAAGACCCAAAAACAACATGCTGAAGATCTAAAGAAAGTCTCTGAGAGAATCAAAGAATATGGTTTTAAAATAAATGAAGAAAAATGTGAGTTATTTATGTCCTGACTCAAATATCTAGGGCAGATTATTGATGAGAATGGTAAACGACCAGATTCTTCAAGGGCAAGCGCAATAAAAGAGATGCCTGCTCCAACTAATATGACTAAATTAAAACATTCTTAGGGTTTGCAAACTATTATCATACATATATACCTAATATGCAAGAACTGAGAGCACCATTGAATAAGCTACTGAAGAAAGATATCAAGTGGAATTGAAAAGAAAAATGTCAAAGTGCGTTCAAAGAAATTAAGAAAGTATTAACATCGAATTTGTCACTAGGTCATTTTTATCCTAAACTATAGATTGTGGTTGCATCAGATCCAAGTGATTCGGATATTAGAGCAGTGATATTACACAAATATGATGGAACAAAGAAGCCAATAGCACATGCTTCAAGATCGTTAATTACAGCTGAAAGAAGCTACAGCCAAATAGAGAAGGAAGCATTGGCTATTATATTTGCCATGAAAAAATTCCATAAATTTTTACATAGTAGAGAATTTATTCTACAAACAGACCATCGTCCGTTGTTGTCCATATATGGATCTAAAAAGGGTGTTCCAACATATACACCAAATAGAATACAATGTTGGGGAACTATCCTATTAAATTACAATTATAAAATGGAATTTCTACCATCTAAGAAATTAAGTCATGCTGACCGATTGTCTCGACTAATACCAAGATTCTGTGAACCACTTGAAGACACAATAATTGTGGCAATAAAAGCCGAAAAGAAAATTAACAACGTATTATATAATACCATATGGGAGCTCTCCATTACATTAGAGGAAATATAAAATTAAGGTAGAAAAAGACCACTTCATAATGAAAATGAAGGAAAAATTAAGATCTAAAAGAGAAAAATACTATGGAAAATAGTGCATTTTCATTATGCAATGGTGTACTGATGTATGCTGAAAGAGTGGTTATACCAGCATTGTTAGAAAGATGTATGTTGAAAGAATTTCATAGAAGATATCCAAGGGTTTCTAGGATGAAATCCTTAATGAGATTTTATACCTACTGACCAAACATGGATAAAGATATAGAAAATTTGATAAAATTATGCAGAGGTTGTGCTCTGGCAGCAAAGTTACCGCCTAGCTGACAACTGATATGTCATGATCTAGAAAACGTATTGACTTCGCATGACCAATAAATGGAGCATACTATCTAGTAGTAGTCGATAGTTAAACTAAATGGCCAGAAGTACTAAAATACAGGAGACTGACTACCACAGTAACTATGAATTTATTACATGAAATTTTTTCGAGGTTCGGTATTCCTGATTCTATCACATCAGATAACAGGACATCTTCAATAAGTTGTTACCTGAATGCAAGGCAAGAACAAAGAATAACTATACAAATACATATTTTAAACATGAAGATAAAGCATTTGTCAGGATGTATCAGCACAGAAAGGAATTTTGGCAAGATGGCATCATTAAAAAACGTATCGGCAGAATGATGTACATGGTACAGGGACAAAAATGGGAACATAGGAGACATGTGAATCAGTTGAAACAAAGGTTCACCGAGTTAAAAAGTCCCTGAACAGAGGTACCAATGGAAGTTCTGTATGACACATTTAACGTACCTATGCCATCAGAAATAGTTCAACCAAGGGGTTAATGGCTAAAGGAAAAGAATGCCAACAGAGTTTCTAATGATCGGACCAAAGCTGAAAAAGTATAGAGTCTAGGGAAGTTATCTCAAAGGGGAGGTATTGTATAGGAATAAAATGTTGTTGTCAACACTGTAGTTTGAACACAGATCACCAGTAAGCAAACACGGATGATTCCATTATTAAATAAGTAGATCATGTGATTGTAAAGGAAACGTATAAATGGGAATTAGATGTGATCACTATTCTCTATACTATCCACTATACTTTTTTTCTATACTGATCATTATATGAATTATTATTTGGTGATTACTATTTGAACAAGTATTATTAGTGTGAGTATTATTTGAAGGCATTACTACTACGAGTATCTGCATTTACAAAATCTCGTCTACAACAAGCATTTCAGAAGTGATAAGGAGCATTCATTGACCTAATGAAAGTTAGAACATCTAACGTCACAAAAGTATACAAGTTAGAATTTTAAAGTAAAATTTTGTGATATTACCAAGCTATACACATTGATATAATTCCAAATTAGGAAAATGGTCCTATACTGTTAAATCTTGATTTACTGATTATCCTCAAATAATTGAAATTGATTCAACACACACACACACACACATACACATATATAAGATCATTCTTGAAAGGTATACTAATATAGTTATTTTTGTTTTCTCATTCTGTCATTACTTCAATAATAAAACTAAAATGACTTTCATACAAGTAACATTTTCTATTAATAGCCATAGTCCTGTATTAAGTATGTCATCACTCACATCCAATACTCTAATATATTCCATGTTGCTGTCATAAAAATGATTTATTTTTTATGTAATTATATTTATTTCAGAATAACTTTTTTTTTAATTCATCATTTTAATGCGTGTTTCTAATTTTTACTAATGTTTCCTGCTTTTCCACTATCATTGTAGGAAATTGAGCCATTTGTTGGAGAATGCTTATTAAAACTGTGGGACAAACCCGGTGCAAATCAAAAACGTCCCATAACAAGAGGGACCCTGGATTGTAGCAATGTTATCAACAAAGCTCTATACACTCAGGCCAGTAATTCTTCTGTAAGCCTTGCAGGTGGACTAAATGGTACTCGCAACCCTGCAGCTTATAACAGGATTCAAGCTGATATCTTTGCAAATGCACTTGCAAACAGCCATGTTGTCACAGCTAAAGGGGGTCCAGGTGCCAAACAGCAATCTCCAGTTGGACACAATTCCAGCATGAACTCATCCTCAAAGCAGGCAGGCAAAAGTGCTCATTTCCACTATCGTCAGAACAACCATTTTCCCTATCAAGGAGGTATGTCTGCACCACCTCCTAGCAATGCAGGACACTTTCTTGGAGCCCATAATATTTACCCAACTGCTCCCAACATGATTGGAGCTACTGGCATGAACCCCATGTACATAACCCCAATGATGGCCAATCAATCTCCTCACATGTCCAACCCTGGGGGATTGTCTCCTCGACATGGAATGTCTCCTGTGGTTATCCTTCAAAGAGGCAGCAATAACAACCAAAATGCTAGCAATAATAACCAGTCAGCTGGCATCAATAGTGCTTCATCTTCAATGTTCACAAATTCTTGATGCATCAATCATTTCAATATGATAGACATACAAACATGCACATATAAAATATGTATATGACATTACAAGAAAATGCCAATGTTTCTAAGAAGGGAAACTATTCTTTGACTTGAATTATTATTTTTTAAGTAAATATTTTTAAATGAACTATTAGTGAGATTTAAACCTATGACTACAATATAATATGATTTGATTTTGTGTGGACAAGTAATTTTCTTGTTTAACACAATTTGATGATAACTATATCATGTTATTGTCTGTTTACTGATTTAAATCTAGCCACCTCATGATTTCTCTTTATTTATATTGATGATAGAATTACAATATTATTTAGTTCAGAAAGAATTGTTTCCTTATCTTTATATCATGCATTGGATAAGAATTTTGCTTAAACTGAGAATATTATAATTTTTTTTTTCAAAAGTGACTCATATTCTACTTCTACTTCTAAATCCAGTAAATTTTATCAGTGTGTAGCAGTCCATGTTTATTATCTTCTGTCAACCATTACATTTTTAATAGAAATTTTAATTGTGTTTTATGCATTTTAGATAGTCTTCAATATACCTTCTATTCAATTCGTTTGCAGTTGCTGTTTTGTGTATACAAACCAAATAAGCAAACTTTGAATAGCTAGTAGATATTTTTGCCTTCTTTTTAAATTTTTTTTTGTTATTTTTAATGCAAGATTCATCTTGGAAGATAGTCTCATACATAGTTGTATATCATATGTGAGTAATTGAATGAATAAATGGAAAAATATCTTACATTAGAGGATTTATCCTTTGAAAAGAATTCTTCAGATTGAATGATGAAACATGTAATGTAGGATTTTTTTTTCTATTTTGTCTTTCAGTTAACCAAAATTAACCTATATATTATTTTACAGTAAACAAATTATTTTTTTATGTTAAAATATCAAATGCAGGAATTATTTTGCAACAGCTTTCTTTTTCCTTTTATTTTTTTCCCCAAACACAACTTCTACACATGGTGATCTAGCAGGGGTTGATTATGAATTTGAGTCCAATGTAAGAGGATTCACTTACCCGATAATTATTTAATTTTATATATATATATATATATATATATATATATATATATATATATATATATATATATATATGCACACACAGTGCATTGCAAAAAAACATTAGATCAGTGTTAATTGAATTTCACATTAAAATTTTAGTTGAATTTGTCAAAACTGAATGAAAGATACTGCCAAATATGCATGTAAATGCCAAATAAATTTGTTACTAGCAAAATTGTGCTTCATTATAAAAGTTATTTGGCATTTGTGTGCATATTTACATGGTATTGAAATATTTTTGAAAGTCAGTTTATCAATTAAGTATGCATTTTTTCTTGACAACTTTATTCTTGAAATTATGCAAATGGAAAATATCAATATAAATTTAAAAATATATTGCCTTTGTCCATTTTCTTTCTACCTTAAAATTTTCATAATCTTTGGGGAATGACTAAATTTTTCCATGTAGTAAATCTCCAAATTTAATTTGTTTATTTATGCTAATTATTTACTAGAGTTTTCTATCAAGGCATGATTATTGACTTTCTGTTTTGAAAATTTCAAGTTCAACCTTTTTCAGCTACTTTTCTTAATTTGTACATTGTCAAAATTTTGCTCTTTGTTTCAGTTGAAAGGCTTTAATTTTTTTTTTCTTCATTATCATATACTAATATATATTAAAAAAAGTAATATTGCTAATTAGTAAAAGAAATAGCTGCGTTATTTTGCTTTTAATGATTATTGCAACAGTGTTCAATTATCATTTTTTTAAATGGATTTGTTCCATGTATTGTTATGGCCCTTTTATCAATTTTATTTTATGGTAATGTTTCATAGCATATCCCTAAAGAATTGGGAATTGCTTAATGAGTGATATCTATTTTAGCCTGTATCTTGTTTTTTTTTTGTTTTGTTTCGTTTTTTTTTTTTTTTTTTTTTTTTTTTTTTTTTTTTTTTAGATATATCTTATTGTACGAAGCCCTAATAACTACATATTGTTCATTGGGAATTACAGATGACTTTTAAGTTGAGTTTCATATTCCATTATCCTTCTGAATCTGGCCCATTATCACCCATTTTTTATTTATGTTTAACTTGTTTCAACAGCCATGTGATTTATATATATGTTTGTTAAATTAAAAGATTGCAAATAGCTCTTCTTGAATGCTTAATATATTTAAGTTTGTAAAATGTCTGGCTAATTTCTGACATTTTCAATACTGCTATATCCAACTCAAAAACGGAAAAAGAAAAATGTGAATGCATTGGTATTGTCTATTTGTTGTAGTAGTTGGCAGCATTATGATTAGACTCAAATCTTAACAGACAATTTATCAAGTCCTTTAAATCTTTGTGTTTTGCATAATGATATTGTTATTTGTTCAAATTGATAACAAAAAAGGACTAGTGTATATTTAGTCACTGCTGTCTCTTTTTTGCTATTGTTATTATAAAAAGGAAATTTGTATTCTGTAAATAGTGACTATAAAATGATTATGACTTGTTATGTTTGTTTTTCTTAGAAATATTATTACAAAATTGCTTTATTGATCTGACACTAGTGATGTCTTTATCTAATCTAAGGTGGGGAAAAGCATCATTTTTATCCTTCAAAACTTTTTGTTTGGCTAGAATTTTGTTTGATCAAAATGTTCTCGTTAGATTCAATCTATTTCTGCTGCTTTTTTCCCCTAACCTAAGAAGACAAATCTTCACAAGCAGATAAACATATTTAATATGCAAACATTTCAAGAGATATTTAAAAATAATTATATGCTTAAAGATAATTTACAGGCTATATTTTCATGCTGTGATCATGAGTTATGTTCCCTATGTTGTTTCTGCAAAAAGCCAAATTATATCTTATCATTTATATATATCTAATATATCTTAACAGGTTAAAAAGTTTATGTATTTTGTTACCAGCTATATTTCAAATTGGATATTTCTATCAAAATGTTTAGTTTTGCCATTTTCAATGTGCACTCAAAATGGTGTTCATTGTATTATCATTCCTTTTCAGTGATTTTTATTTAATAGCAAGAAATGTATTTTATTTCCTTTCCCAAACCACAGCAGACATCCTTTTATTATTGTTAACATTTCTATTTTTCAACCTTTTGTAATATAAAATTTGGTTACTGTTTTCATGACTTTTCAGAATGTAAATATTGCTTATTTCATCTTGTATTTTAGAAAATGTAAAGTCATTCTTTCTTATTTCAGTAACATTTTTATTTGCTTTTTCTTTTTATTACAATTTTTTTATCATATCAATTTTCGCAAAGATGTGTCAATGATTATTTCAAAATTGCAAGTCTTTTTATCTATTTCACTTTTAGTACATAATCTGGTATGCTGACTATCTTGTACCAAAGAAAAAAGCAGTTGAAACAAATTGCTAACCAAAATAACTTTCATGAAATAGATTTGTTTATTATAACTTTATCGAAATAATGAAATCATGTTTTGTATGTCACTAGCAACAAACAAAAATCAAAGCATTCTGCTTCCTTCTTTCCATTTGGATTATCTTAAACACTTTATAAGAAGCTTAATAAACCTTGGGCTGAGTTCTTCCTTCCATATCATTAAAATATTTCACCTTTATCTACAAAAGTACTTTATAAACTGGTCCCTAATCCTATCTTAATATTTTTTATTGCACACATTAACCTGCATATTTATTCCTTGGGATGAGTATTTTTGAAAATCTAACAACATATTTGTGTCTTTTTGTAATCTGCAATATTTACATTGGGTAAACACTACAGACATTGATAACTGAAATAAACTTTAACTTGTCATTAAGTCATCATTATGAAAGCAAGGCTTGTGCTATAAAAAGTTATAAATTCAATTTTCAAATAGCTCTCATAATCATGCTATGACATAGTATTGTTTAGAAAATCTATAAAATTCAGTATTTTATGCCATAAATTCTTTTTATATTTAATTGATATAAAGATTGTATATAAAAATCTTGTTGCAACAAAGAAAAACAGGAAATAACTAATTCTTATGATCTAAACATCACAAATAATATTCTCTAACCACTCATACTGAGCAAACCTGTTCACACTGCTAAATAGTTTTCTATTTTATGTTTTAATCTGTTTATTTTTATGTTTTTCTCTCTGTAGTTCCCAGTGTTACTAATTTCTTATGACTTTCTTTCTTATTAAAACAATGTACTGGCAATAAGTGATAATAAGTACTAAATTTATTTCACTTACATTCATAATTGTTTCTTTGTTAATGCCAATTGTTTCTTTTTGACTTTAGAAGTTTTGCATAACGTATGTCTGAAAATTTTCATACTGTATAATTTCAATAGGCTTGATTAAGTTTTAGCAAAAATGAGGATAATTTTAGCCTTACCTCTTTTGTAAATGCATTAAAGATACTATTTTTAGTATTAGATATTTCTTTTTAAGTTGTAAAATTAGAATTGTTGCTTTTGGTTATTTAACTATCATTTTGCTGTTCAGCAAATTACACTTTTGGAGTATCTCCCATATCTATACTGTTTCATGTCATTTAATGTGAGCAATAATGACCAGACAGTTGCTATATTCTAACAAAAAGAATAATGCTTTCGTACTTACAAATGGCCATCTCTCATTCTAAAATTTATATCAACAGAAATTGCAGAATATTGCTATTTTATTTTTCTACTTTTTCATGAACTTTTAAGTCAACTGATAATCTTTTCTTGTAAAAAGAAAAATGAAATTTAATGGAAGATATATTTCTCTTTCAATTAAATATTTGTGTACAACACTCTTCTCCATTGTCTCACATAAAAATTTTTGAAAAGTCAAAATGTAAATGAACATTTTATGTTAAAATATTTTCATCTCATTCTTTTTATGTTTAAATATTTATAAAATATATTTTTTGATCAATTACACCAAAAGTTTTTGTATTCTTTTCTATTAATTACACAATTACCTTGTTTCTATAA